GTGGGTAATAGTCGGGCAGGAGGTTAGAAAGGAGAGTCCATATATCGCTTTGTAGAGAAATATTAAATTGTTTTTTAGCCTACAGTACCATAAAGGTTCTAAAGATAGATGCTTGCATCTGTCTGTGTAATCGAGATCCGAGTTACATCCTAGTAGTTGACGTGTGAAACGTCTTTGAACATCTTCTACTCTTATCTTTTCTGTGATATTCATATTAGAGAAGACAAAAGAGCAGTATTCAAGGGAGGGTCGTACACATATTTTGTAGAGAGTAAGTTTACCCTCTGTAGTGAAAAAGTTTTTCATTATAAAGCCAATTAGCCGTCTAGATTTAGAAATAATAGAGGAGGCATGTTCTTCAAAGCTCAGACTTCCTGTGTAATTAATTCCTAAATCGTGCACTGATTCGAGTGTTTGGACTCTACTTTCATTTAAGTGAAGTTGCGGTTTATAGGGATGCTTTCCAAAGTGCATGATCCCGCACTTGTTGAGGTTAAATGGTAATTGCCATTTTTCACTCCATATAGTTAAGTTATTGAGGTCCTTTTGGATCTGGGATACACTTTCGCTTAGTGTCTCAGGATTATAGCTGTATACTATTTTGAGATCATCAGCATATAAGTATGGTCTCCCAAATTCTATGGTGTTACATATATCGTTTATATACATAAGAAACAAAAGTGGACCTAATACGCTTCCCTGGATGACTCCACTGGTGATTGGTCTAGGGGACGAGAGGCAGTCATTGTACTTTACCATCTGTTTACGTTCTGTTAAGAAGGAAGCAAACCATGAGTACAGTGGGTTGTGTATTCCGAAGGACTTTAGTTTGACGAGTAGCCTTTTGTGTGGGACCTTATCAAAGGCTTTCTTAAAGTCTAGGAATAAGACTGATACAAGGAGTCCCCTGTCTCGTTTCAGAGTTATATCATTCAAGGTAGTCTTACGTCCTTGATTCGTCTACTCAGTAGTATACGTGAAATAATTTGTCTTAATATAGGTTAAGGCTTTGGTACAACAAGAAAACTGGTTTAACTCTGAAGATAGAAATGAGAGAGTATGAAATGAGATCGAACATACTTTGTCACCTGACTGGTTGACAATCAAGAGAGAGAGAAGACGAGTCAACTTGGACACCACTCGATTCATTCCCGTTCCCGATTAGCGTAAAATAGACATGATAGAACTACTGTAACACAACTGGACGTATTATTCATTTTTGGATAGGTTGTTTTAATCTTCTTATGATGTATAGGAATACAATTGGTCGGTCTTGTTCTGGCACAGGATGCACATATGCCAGAAAGTAACCGACCAATTGCAGTTTCAAGCATCAATGAGAAGATTCAAACAACCAGTCTAAAAATGAATTAAACTTCACATCATTCCATAAACTAATGGCTATCTACTACATGTAAATAGATAACACGATGGAATTTGATGTGGGCGGCACTGGGTTTGAGTCCCAGAGTGAGCATTATCTCTGCTATGCCGGTAGATCCAGCTGATGACTCCCAAATGGGACAAAATGCACATCTCAAATTCCACTGCTAGCCACTATCCATCTCTGCTTACGATGAAAGAACTACGTTTGGGATTCGTTATAAGGGCGCAGTCAAGTACATCGCAATCACTAACTAGTATAAATACCTCAGCAGCAAGTTGCAGTGAGTTTCTTCCTGTTTATCCTGTATTAACTTTTTACTCTTCTGCACACTATGTCGACTAGCAATTAATATTAGTTTTCCACTCGTTACCTTATCTACAACTCATATACTTTTCCGCCTGTTTTAATAAACAACCGTCCTACATTATACCCTTCTTAATGCTTATGCTCTGATTGGCAAACTATACTTTATACTATATTCAACAAAAGCATTGCACCGATGCCTTACCCACAGTCCATAGCTTGTAACTGCCTAATAAGCTTGTAAAATAGTACTTATAAAAATATTGCTTTCCAACAGGATGTGAAACACAGAGGATTGTGTGTGAGGTATGACATATGTACAAAAATAAGCTTAAATGAGTCTAACATCACAAAAGCAGGGAGGGTGGAGTTACTGACCACCAAGCATTGATGGTGAGGGCGATAACTTCAATCCACTCGTGTTTGTGGGGGCAGAACATTTTGTATATATCAGGCTTTTTATGATTGAGAATAGGTCAATCAATCTGTGATATAGATTGTCTTCCTACACCCACCACTCAGAGTCATGTTTCCAATTTTATGCTGGATTGGCTATTCTGCTATGACAACCTATAACATGCTGACTCGGACTTTTACACTAGGATTGTGTGGCTGGCATCGGATGGACAAAAAAGAAAAGAAAGGAAAAACTAGACAATAAAATATATAGTTGTTAGTATTCTTAACATTTCACCCTCTATATACACACTCTTCTAATAAGCCGCCTTCCTTGTACCAACCTTGACCTCCTTTCCTTCATTAGAGCCTGCTCCAACCCGTTAAACGACACAACTCATTGTTCTTTATTACTACATTCTATAATATGGAGCCTCTGACTTCATTTCACTCTAACAAGAGATAATATGAATTTAATCTAATTTATTATACTTCTGTCTGTTCTACTACTACCTAACGTTAAGCAAAATTTGGCGTTCATATCTATGGGCCTTGCTACTCTTCTGTTTTTCTTTTTTCTTCCTCAGAATCTTGCTCTGAGGGCACAGCTATAAAAATTCTGAAGTCTGAAACAAACGACTTACGCATCCCCTCAAGGTCACGGTTTACAGCAAGCGTCCTACGAGCATAATTTATAACAACTATAAACTTAATAGGTTGAGAAGCATATTATGTGTACTCACTTATGGCTTATTATCTTCTGCCCGGAACAAATGTACCTGTTGTATGTGCAGTTGAGTATTTGTCCTGCTCACAACAGGTTATGCGTTGAAAGTATATTTATACTCGTCTGGGGTATGGCTCTCATATTCGAATTATTCACGTTGCCGAACTTTGCAGTATATGAGTAATTTTCCTAATAGTTGTATACGTATGTCCCACCATGTAATGTTTGGCGTTATTACGAACGAGATACTTGGGTGAGGATGAGGATGCCTCCTACGTTACCCATACCAAGCCAGACAACCCGACCATGAAGAAAAGTCTTCAACACCCCCTACGGCTACGATAATGTTGGAGGCTAACTGTGAATGACCATTAGAAGTTAGTTAGACATGATTCAGAATGTCATTCAACGCAATGTACTTCAGGGTAAGTAAACACATGGAAAGCAAAGATCCAGGGTTAAGAGAAGCACAGAACGCTTGCTAAAAGCCAAAGGAGAGCCTGGAATACGTGGAATGACTTCTTGAAGAAACTGATAAAATTTCTTAATCAGCATTGAGAATCAGATACGAACTCCGAAATTATGGGAAATGTTTTCTGGTGAAGCTTGCAGTCGAAACACAAGCTAATTCTAAACATCTCTACGGATTCATGACTAAGAGAAAGCTTTTAAACCAGAGAATTTGTACTCTTCAAGAGCCAAATGGCAAAGATCTCACTAACTAAAATATAGATGATATCTTTAGTGACAACTTCACAGACCAGCTAAACTAGCAGCCTAAAAGCGTTGAACACCGGTAACAGCTGAACGTCTGGGAGATATCCAACTAACTCTTAGATTAGTATTAAGTAAGCTGAAATCCTTACGTTTAAGAAAGTCACCAGGATATGACGACATCCCACTGACAATCCTGAAACAGTACACAGAAGCAATCAGTACAGCGGTGTGTGACCAGCTCAGGCACCCTTTAGATCCATGACATTTACAAGGATGTCACAACATCAAGACTTTAACATGAAAGAATCTTAGGTTCACTCCTGTTCTTGATCTCTACCAACTGCCTTCTAGGCAAAATTAGCTCGGTGGCACTGGACTACGTAAACGAAGCAAAAATCTGGAGGTTAATACGGAGCAAAAAGGATCCCTTTCAGCTTATAAAGGACCTTACAACAATAAGGGAATAAGAGGCAGACAATGGGTTAAAACTTGACCTGTTGAAATGTCAAGTCATGGACATTCTGCTTCAGTCGACACAAAATACTGACACCGTTCATGGAAATCCTCCCTCGATTGCCTTTTCAGAACATGATATTGGGTATTTAACCGCAAACAGACTAGACACTAGTTCAAATTACACATGAGCTACAGCAAAGGAAAACTTAACTTACTAGTTAATGGTCGGACAACTGGATTTGATCACTCCAACACTGTTTAAAATGTACGAACGGCCACACCTTGAAGTTCATACAGTCCTCTTTTCTTTATCAGAGATATGGATCTAGTACGAAGACGGGCAACCAAGTGGGTGATAGATCTAAAACATAAACCCTACAAGGACAAATTCAAGCACTTCGTATTAGCCGTTTTGAGCTACACGCGAACATAATGTGATTTAATAATGGGCTATGAAATATTCGGTATTCCAAGCCACCCAAAAACGAGCATATTATTAAAACATCAACGTTATGCTCCTTGATGCAATCCTCCAAAGATTGCACATAAAAAATACCCAGGTAGTCTCTCACTCTCTCTCATCAAGATTTCCTCCACCCGGGATGATCACAGACTCTCATTGGATAGCTTCAAAAATAGACTTGATAAATATGTACCCAGCCATCGAATAACGTCCCCATGTTGAACCTGCTGTGTCTGATGTATGTCTCAAAAATCATCACAGTTATCGCTACTATATGATCAAAAACCACAAACGACCTGCCTTATGATCATCCCTGTTTCCCCTCTTCTTCTTACAGATTACAAATTAATTACTTTACTCACTTATCTTCTGAAACAGTCGTCTCCTCTTAGCACTCGAATAATCGATTTACTACTCCAGCACTACAAACAACGGCTAGGATAACACCCATTAGATATTACCAAATAAATGAAACCGTAGTGAAACAACAAGAATTGAAAGCAAATTAATCTATTGGTTCGTGAACGTTTTTGATGAATATATTGAATATTGGATTTACAATTGGCTGCGGTACGGCTCCAGTATTTGAATTACTCACGTTGTCTAGATTTGCTTTTTGTGAGTATTTTTACTAATATTTTTATATGTATGTACCTTACGCTACACTGTGTATTACAATTGCCTAAATCCGTAAATGTAATATATGTTTAGTGGTTATTAGTAAAGCCAACATGTCCGTTGTAACTATTAATTGCGTATTGATAAGTTAGATCACCTGTAAACTTTTCATCCTCAGGGTAAAGACAGGTCTTGAGATGATTGATTCCCTCACTTTTTGACACGTGGATAGTGAAATGTAGTTAGGTGTTCATATTGGCAGTAAGTATGTGTGAATATAAGAGTTTCCTTCATATTTAAAAATAAACCAATTACACTAACTTCCGAACAGTAATTAATAAAGACCGATTGGTTGTCAGTTGCCTTCAATCAATCCAATGTCGTCCCCTTTCGACAGTTAGCTAGATATCGTAAACCCCCGTTTAATATTACTTTACTGTTGTTTCACATAATAAGAATTTCTGTCTAACTAATAACTCAGTTCGTAATTACGTTATATCAAGCCTCTGTAAACCCTATTGCTTCATAGTACGGTTCGACCGATTGTACAGGTGCGTGCTGGCTTGCTCATAACTCCGTAATGATCAGCCGTACACCTCCATTTGACATTGGAAAATAGTTGCTAAACAATATTGTAGTTTGAACAAATTTACTCGAAATGTGTAATATTAACAATGTATCCGTATTCACAGATATTTTTTATCTATGTTCAATAATTCATTTGATAAATGCTTTCTTAGTTTGTTTTATTGTCAACCTGAACCGATGCATATATGTGCCTGGTCCAACGTTGTAGCTTACTGACTGACTAATGACAATTGCATTACAAGGGGTGTGACGATTTATATTCATCGATTAAGTTTTCATTGGGTACTTATAAGAGGTTTTAATCAAACCCATGTAATTGTTTGGCAGTAAATTAAAGGGTATTTCACACATAGATAACGTTCTCGAAAATATTCTTTAATAGTGTGGATACAGGTACAAAACTGGTAATTCAACGACCAGTTTTCCATTTCTGCATTTATTTCGTGCTCAACGCCATTGCGTAAATGTAAGCTCATCATGTTCAAACAAATTACTTATACCAAATATCATTATTCTAAAACTTCATTGATGATATTAGTTTGGCAACTTGCATCCTTTAAGTGATTCTGGTCATTTTACTGCAATGATCCAGCCACATAAATTGTCACATGCAGAAAGTCATGGTTGTCTAAGTAAGATCACTCCATGATGTTAGTTACAACAATCATTGAGCTTTCGACGATTTCCTTTCCCGACAGCATAAACTCAGAGGTTTATCAAACGCTCATCGAAAACTACATTTGATTTCAGTTTGTTTGACAATCACATCGAAACAAGCTACACGATACCGAGCCTCTACATTACTAACATGGCATATGTTCGGCTACAGCGATAATAGTGTAACTACCTTGAAACATCGACTTCGGTGGCTTGGACATGTTTTACGAATGTCGTGTCAGAGAATTCCACGTCGCGCATTGTTTGCCGACGTTGGGATAAGCTGGAAAACCGAAGAGGTGATTAAGTTGTGTCATGGTAACATTTTATGAAAGATGTACAGAACTGGCTTCTGTTGGTCCTTCACGATTCCCTGGTTGGGGTCATAGAGATGGTGCAACACAGTGGCTAGAAATGTATTCAGACATGGTTCAGAATAGAAGCTAGTGGCGATCCTGTCGTAACTTTCTTTTACTTTCTTCATAAACAATGACGTAACTTTAAACTGAAGGGGTTCCTTCTGATTGTATTTTGCCAACTGAATTGCCTCTTCCATTATTATTTCACTTTCACACACTAATTTGTGTTCGTTGTTATTCTCCTTTTTCTTATACGCACTTTGCATTCTCTAACTCTTCATAACATTGTTATTGAGTGGCGCATATATATTTGGTGCCCCACTTGTACCGATATTTGCGTGTTCAAATAAATAAAATAAAATGTGGTCAATGGAAAAAGATGGTTACGTACCCTCATTGCCTGTTTTGTTAATGTACAGAGCCTTCAAAACGTTTGTGAAATTCACAGACACCCTCTCTCAGCAAACAAAAAGTGGCCCTGTTATTAAGAAACAGCAATTGTTAACCTGCTGAAAGTATGTTAGTACCGTAGCATTCGGCACAGTGTAAACATATGATCAACAAATCCACGACCAGAACAAAAGTTAATCTATTTCTTGTAAAATAGGCTTTGATCAGTCTGTGAATTATGGTAGTTTGGACCCAGTCGAAAGTAAACTTATTCCCCTATATTTGTTCCTAGATGATGCAAGCCTTCCTTAAAGAGCAGGAGGAAAGTTGTCCAGGTTTATGCCGCTTCAAGAGTTTGAGTTCCTTCTGGACTCTTCCCGTTAGGTTATATAGTTATCACTGACAATGGACAACAGGACAATCTAATTGATGTTGCTGAGACAGCAGACCAGCTGAACGTTTCTCAAAACACTTGTAATCGTTGAAGACGTCACTAGGTGTTACTAATTAGCGTTTTATCACCCTCACAGATTGTCCCCCAAATGCTCTCACATGGCCACGTGCATACAACCACTGCCACGAAAGTCCTACTCACTGCCTTCTCGTGACATTACTGTTGGTTACGAAATTGAGAGGACGAAAAGCAACATTTTCCGGAAGTTACAGTATGCATCGGTTGTTTTCGACTCGTTAGCTTGCTCTGATCTTAAGGTTTCTCTGTCTGCGGAAACTTTGCACCTTCCCCTGACGTCAGAATCTACATTTATTAATAAATCGGCACTTAGCCCGAGTGAACTGACGTTCCTCGAAAAGATTTAGAGAGCTTGCAGAAGCCTGGTGCTTATAAATAGGAAATTTTGCACAACCACAAGAGGCGGGACTCCTTATTTTTCCTGGCCTCAGGAAAAGACACCTAATGCTCATATACACTTCTCGGTAGACTGGCTACTAACCTTGGAGGTAACTCTTTAATATTTGGTTGCAGCAAAAGCTACAGCCAATTTTCTTCTACCAATCCTTTTTGGGATTAAACGTTTTATGATCATTAAAACTTTAGATACGCTTGCCGTAAACTAAACCATTAACAAAGTCCCAATAAATACCCCAAAATAAGAGGTCTTTTACACAACCATTCCAGCAGTAGCTGGTCATGATGCCAATCTGAGTCGATGGTTAAGTTGCAAAGTGAGAATCCCAGTTTGTACATCGACTATTGCTGTCAAAATTGTTGCTGACTAGAAATAAACGATGGTCTACACAGAGCTACTGTAGTTATACAATACTCAAGACTATCTGTCATATTGAATTAGCTACTATCTTTATACATAACCATAAGTGGCTGATATTATTTAGCTCTCTATTCTTTTTGTTCATATCCTATGTAAATTCCATTATATTTTAGAATTAATAATGTCTAGTCAACCGATATCCAGACATCGGAAACAGCACTTTCCTCGTTTAGAACGTCGAAAATTAATTACTCCTCTATCTCAAAATCTTCCTCTCCAAGAATATGATTCAGATGAAGATCCAGTTTATATTTCTAAACATCCACGAAGTTCATTAATATCCACTAGTCATAAACCATTCCGTCCAGTCAAACCAGATTCAAAAGATACCAATGGATCGTCTGGTCGTCCTGATAAACGTGCTAGAGATGAACACAATGAACAAGAACGTAGTCGTCGACGTGAACTTGCTGTTATTTATGAATTGATTCGATGTAGTTTTTCAAATGATGATTTACGATATCTTGGTCATTGTAATGGTCCTAAATCAGTTGATAAATTATCATATCCACAAGTTTTACAAATAGCTTACCAATTATTACGTGAAGAACAGCATAATTTGACTTTATTTGAAAAATCTTTAAATGATCTGAAATTAATTGAAAAAGAATTTGTCCGTGCCGGTCTCCCAGTACCTGAAAGACCTAAATGTCCTTATATATTAGATACTTATCGAAAAATGGTTCAACTTGTCGATAATTTACTACGTCATGACAAACTGTAAGTAATCTATTTTGTTTATTTGTTTTTCTTAATGAGAAAACACAACAATTTCCTTGTTAGTTCTTTTAATTGTGTCAGTTTTATTTCATTATGCAATTTATGCCTTCATAGTTTATTAAAGACTTGCTGCTTACGACAAAAGTAGGGTTTATTTATTCTTGTTTACTTTATATTTATTAATCTGAAAATAATTACCTTAATTGATTCTACTAATTAAACTTGTCTCAACATCCAAACAATTAACTAAGCAGTCGGTTTATATGTTCTAACTATTTTTTAACATGTGTTTCTGCATAGATTCCGTCTGACTAGAGATACAGCTTTTAGATCGTTAACCTAAGAGATAAACCCCAGGCAGTTCAATGGTGTGTTACTTAAACTCCTGTTGTAATTTCACTGGATTTCTTTTGATTTATAATTTATTCATATAGATGCATCATTTTGTTCCAATATGCTTTTGTTTACAATAAGAGATTCGTGGAGATTGTTTAGTTTCATGGTTTACGTCACGGAATTTTATTTTTATTTATTTATTTAAAGACAAACATTGGTACAAGGAGGAAGGAAATACATATGCGCCACATAAATCATTCGATTTGTGTTACGGCTGGGATAGTTTCCGGGAGCCCAAACCGAAGCAGGCAGTTTTTTTAGGGAGCCACACCCGGTGCCTTTGAATTAAAGGTCTTATCCACAAGGCAGTGGAGCAACGTCAGCCCCATGGTAGCCGGTCATCAACAATAAGTTTATGCGCCATTTGTTTTCTTAGAATCCTGGTGCCTATGTACACCACTGGTTTGGAATCGGGTTTTTTTAACTCCCCTAGGTAGACCCACCGTATCCATCAACCTGGTTTAAACGCTGGATATTCGCTTTTCTTCTCAATTTCGTAAACAACAATAATGCCACGAGAAGGTAGTGAGTAGGACTTCCGTGGCAGTGGTTGTATGCACGTGGCCATGTGAGATCATTTGTAGAGGGAGAGCTGACTCTCCCCACTCTAGGCCGTACCAGGGCATTTGTGGGCAGATCACGGAATGATGTCAGTTATATGGCCATTCAAAACTAGGGAGCAACAGACAGCTGTCTGGTTTTAACATGAAGACTCTTCATTAGTGCTCATCTAATACCTGAAGGTTTTGAACTTGGTCTGCGATCTAGTCCTGGATAGCAATTTATTTTCGCTGATAGTAATATTATGTCAACTATCATATCGAAACTCATACCCAATTGGAATTCCAGTCTTTCGTGTTAACAGTGTTTTGAATATCATCCTAGTCTGATCTCGTTGTGTTTGGATTAGTTTCATTTCACATCACTGACTTGTAATAATAATCTGTAGTAAAGAAAATCACTTCTTTTTTTATTGAAATATGCTTTTCCTATACCCTAAACTACTTATTATATATGATTTTGTACTTTATGTTATCAAATTGTACTTGAACCTGGTAAACTTAACTAATTCTATACTGGTTGGTTTAAACAGTAAGTTTTTTGGCATTTAGTTATCATGTTTATTGTTTATGTATAGTTCGTTAATGAGATTCAACGACATTTCTTCATTTTAAAGTGTTCATACAGTATTTGTTGTTGTATACTCTTATCCGACTTAATTTTGATTATATTAATTGTTATTTATACAGTTGAGATCATGAGTCAGCTGAAGCTAGACCACCATGGAAAACCTGGAATCACTGGTCGGCCGTTTCGTCCTATTGTGGATTTTCCATGGTGACCTAGCTTCAATTGACTCATGATCTCAACTGTTGAAATTAATACAATCTCCACAAAATACCCCTTCTGATTAGTTGTTATGTTTAAAATGTATTCTCATTTTATTTAGTTAACCTTTTTTTCTTTAAAATAAAGTTTATGATTTTCCATTGATTCCGGGTTTTTTATTTTTACAAATTATTTTCAACAGAATATTGTGATTTTTAATTTCTAGTGCTCGATCTGTTGATGGTGTTTATGAGGTGACTCCTGCAGAACGTGCAGCTATTGGTGACCAAGAAATGTCATTTCTTTTACCACGTTCACATCATACATCTACTAGTACTAGTACTACAACAGATTATTCCGATCGAATCAGAGGACGAAGATCGTTTAACCTTATCAATCGGTCAAATTATACTGATAATTATTTAGAACGAGATGATACAAGGAGTTGTTTTTCTAATTGGTCAAATGTTTCTGCAACTCAATCCAAATTTAAGCGCTCCTCTTCTTCCGCGTCACTTGATTATGGCGCAGAGGATGATACTGACTCAAATCTCTTACCGCCTACACCTCCATCGATTAATCATCTGTGTAGTACTACTTCTACTTGTAATAATGATAATAATAATAATAATAATATTAGTAGCAATGAATGGTTAGGCAATCCTGAATTCCTGGATATTTTATCCGAACTCAAAGAAGATCCTGATAGGAATGAATTTGAAGCACCAACTGAAGAAATTGATGATATAGATGTTGATGGTCTTTTGTTGAATTTCATCTCGGACGAAACACTTAACTAAATTGTCTTTAAATAAATTACACATGTATATGTATATAGAAAATTATGTGTATCCATATCCTTGCTTTTCATCATGTTGTGCCTTCTTATATTATCTTTCATTTATATATATATTGCTACCGTTCATTACATTTCATTATTGTTACTATTATTATTATTACTATTATTATTCCCGATTTCGATATAATACTATTAGCTTGTTTTGTATTGCTTTCTTCTATAATCTTTATAACTCAATAGTGTCTATGTATGTACTTCATTATTACCATTAATTTAATCATCATCACTAGTGTTTCATAAGTACATTCAACAAGAACTTTACGACACTGAAAAATGCTTCAATTACCATGTTCATGTTGCATTACACACACATTTATATATATATAAATCATGTTTTTGACAGACATTGTGGATCAAAGTAATTACCTTGTGTTTTCTTTTTTTATCTTACACTTATCGTTGTAGTAGCCTTAGTGTGTGTGTTTGTGAGTGTATGCGTACGAAACAATTTCAATTCACGTTATTATCAACGTAATAGTCAGTCATGTTTTCTAAAAAGAAAAAAAACGAATGATCACATGATAGATAATGAGTAAACAACATAAACGTGTTCATGATCATATTTTAAAGAATTCATTCTTATATATTTGCATCTTCAAGTATGCCACGGAATTATCTTTGTCTGTAGTAGGAGCAGTAAATCATTATTAATATGATTTATAGGTTGTATATGTCGTAGATTGACTTCATTTGTGGTGTCATTGAAAATTAAGAAGCGTTGTAGTATGGTCAGTCAGTCAGCTACAATGTAGGACCAGGCACATATATGCATCAGTCCAAATTGCCATACCTCATTAACACAACAAAATGGACACCGGATTTATGAAAGTAGTTAATTCAGAGGTGGCAATATATGAAATATTGCAATGAGGATATAGTGCAGCAAGAAAGAATTAGTTGGTAGAAAGAAAAATATGAAGCGATTTTAGTCTCTTAGTTTAAGGGAAGACAGAAAGTGTATACATCGACGCTATTGTGATCGATTTTGAGCCGTCACTTAGAGTCTCCAACCATTGGTTACGATAGTCATGCGGACCCCAACCAAGTAGTCTGCATCTACCAACATGGCTCAGACTAGAAGTTAGTGACTTCAAGCACTGATGCCACGTTTTAGTTTGGCCACGCCTAATTTTCTCCCAACCATCCCGAACACCGGTTAGCATTGCATGTCGTGGTAATCGGTGTTCAGGCATACGTAACACGTGGCCCAACCATCTCAATCGATGAAGATTTACAACCTCATCAACTGATTTACCATCATTCCCTAATTCCCTGTGTCTAACCTCACTATCACTTACTCGGTGATCCCAGCAGACGCCAGCAACATGGGACCTCTTAATACCAGGCACCCATTTAGGAATAGACCAAAATCTTTCAGATCATGTTGCGAATGCCTTACTATTCGAATCACTGGGCAGTAACCCAGCCCTCATAAATTGAATGATTTATGTGGCTCATATATATTTGATGCCTCGTTGTACCAGTGTTTAAATAAATAAACTGAGTCGGAATTCGTTTGGACAATTTTAACGTCAATCAATCTACGACATATTGCGTCGGTCGTCCAGTTCCACAGGTGATAATTGTTTCATTCTTGAAATATCTTAACTCCACCAGTAACAACTCTTCTAACTAAATGACAATAGCATAAGTACAAAATAAGCGTTAAAGAGATTTACTGAACAGTACCATGCTTGCCCTTAACTATTAAGATACAATTGTTTTAAGGTAACAGATGGATTAAAGGATTCACATTATCTGCATGCATCTTTTTAAATCACATAGATTGTGTAATTTTCATTGTAATCACAAATACGGAATCCGTAGTATTTATCTTCAGTGGCTTCGGTTTGGGCACCCGGGCAGTATCACAGCCCTCACACACATATCGAATGAGATTTGTGTGGCGCATATGTATTTGGTGCCTCTTTGAAATAAATAATCTTCAGTGGCGATATCTATAATTTTCTTTTTGTGGACAAATTATTGTCCCGCTTACACTTAAGTAAATGAATGAAGATATCTTTTTGTGAAGGTGTACAGTACCCAGAGAAATGTTGCGATGAATATTGATAAGATCAACCATGCGTATTCAAACGTACACTTAAGTCAACTTCGTTTAGTGAGGACAATGCATCGGCCGTATCAGCTTCCACTTCACAACGAACCTGGTCTTGACTTATGTGTCTGAATAATTTACTCGTATTGCATCAATCATAATGCTTCAAAGACGGTCCTTTCAAAAAGTTTACAGTTTTCCAAACTGTTGGTATTCCGCTAAAAATGTCATAAGCTTAGGCCTTCCACTTACCTGGAGATCGAGTACTCCTAAGGCATAGAACTGACTTTAATAAACCAAATTACTTACGCCTGTTACTCCTCGTGAAGGAACATAATAAACCAAATTGCCACTGAAAATATAACAGATCATGTGTCGTTTTATTCTTAAACAAGAACAGAATATACTGCTACTAGTGTTTAGACGAGAATCAATGTATTTCTCCGCATAGTCAATAAGGTAGGCTGATATCGTTAATCGTTCAACCAGAATGTAATCTCACATATTTCTTTAGTATTTCTATGGCTTAGTTATGAATACACAATCACATCACGAAAATACTATATATAACGAAATGTCATTCTTCTATATAAATTAGAATCTAGGCTTATATTCCGGTTACTTGATGTATATTAAGTCAGATGATTAAATGAAAAGTTGAATAATCCAGTCATGTACTTTTATATATATATATATATATATAGGTGATTATGATGTAAATGTTAGAAGTGTTGCGATTGATAAAAATGTTTACAAACGATTGTATTGTTGTTGCTATTCATTATTGAATGTTTTAGTGATCATCTGAGAACACATTCCTTTTCAGTCTAACTCAGTAACCAACCTTTATTTGGCCCTGTAGATCACCAACGTAGATGATCTTTGTTGAATGATTGGGGGCCTACACGAGTTAAATGAGAATGGTATGATCAACCAGCTAATGTCGAAGTTGCATCTTGAGGTCAGCACGTAAAGTGGATTACCTCTTCGTCGTATCAAGGTACTATGGCTGTTTTGAAGATTGTATAACACAAAGGACGTTACTACGGAAATGTATTTGTAAGAATGAGTACGGATAAGATAGCAAGACCACCACCGCATGAGTCAGTTCATCGTATACGACTAATCGATACGCGTAGGTTATTGTCGACCTGGACGATTGATTATCTGTTCTATATTCAGTGATCCAACTGCCGGATGATTTGGCTAGGGCTTAGTAACATTTCACTGGCCCTACAATCCGAAAGATAAAATCACCTGGTCATCTCCCATAGACGTTTCCGTTAAAATAAATATACACAAGATTTTTGTGATTAATGAACATTAGTGGCTTTATTATATAAATGAACTGTAATTTACAGCATCGAGGTTGATCTTTAGTAGAATATTTTCTACATAAATGCTCTTGTATTGGTAAATTATTTCTAGATAGACAACGTATATCATTCAACTATAAAGTGTTAGATTCATCCGGTATTGTTTACTTGAATCTTCCCATTGATGTTAAGGACTGAAATTGATCAGTCTCTTATTGACATATATGCATAGTGTGCATATCGTCTCGATATTGCCTAAATTCTTAGCAAAGATGGATAGTGGCTAGAAGTGGAATTCAGTTTGACGCGCGTTACGTCGTATTTAGAACTCGTCACCTGGATGTACCTGCATCTCAGAGTGGCTAACAGGACTCACTAGTTAAGTGGATAATCCAATGGCGTTTAAAGCAAAAGGTACTGGGTTCGAGTCCCAGAGTGAACATCAACTCTGTGATGCAGTCTCAATCAGCTGATGAGTCTCAAATAGGACGAAACGCGCATCAAACTGGATTTCACTGCTAAGCACTATCCATCATTGCTTATAAAGTGTTAGGTTTATGAACTATCAGGTGTCCTGTTAGTCAGTAGAACTTATATATCATCTGTAAGTTATTGATGTATCCTTTTGCGATTAGTGCCTATATCACTTAATCATTGATCTATTAAAATAGTGACTAACCTGCTAGACTGGGTAATATTGTACATGATTGATTAGTGAATAGTAATCAAGTTACCTATCCCTTAACTTTTGATCGACTACTACTAAACCAAATCTGTTGTTTACGAAAATGAGAGGACGAAAAGCGAATGTCCGGCGCTTTAACCGGATTCCAAACCAATGGTGCACATGGGCTCCAGTATCCTGCGGGAACAAATGGCGACTGAACCAATTGTTGGTCACCGGCTTCCATGGGACTGCATCTCCTTACGATGCTCCACTGCCTTGTGGATCAGACCTTTGGGTTGAAGGCTCGGGGTGTGGCCCCCTAAGATAACCACCTGCTTCGGTTTGGGCACCCGGGCAGTATCACAGCCCTCACACATATCGGATGAGATTTGTGTGGCGCATATGTATTTGGTGCCTCTTTGTACCATTATCTATGTGTTGAAATAAATAAATAAAATAAATAAATATGAAAGTGTCAAACTATTTACATAGATGATCACATTTTAATATAATCGTTAGATATCCTAGACTAGAAAAATAGGACAATTGACTACTCAGATTAAGGTGAATTGTCTATTTCTTAAATTTCACAAGTTGAAATCATGAGTCAGTTGAAGCTAGACCACCATTGAAAACCTGGAAGCACTGGACGGCCGTTTCGTCCTAGTATGGGACTCCTCAGCAGTGCGCATCCACGACCCCGCACCACCCGGGGCTCGAAACGGCCGTCCAGTGCTTCCAGGTTTTCAATGGTGGTCTAGCTTCAACTGACTCATGATTTCAACTTGTGAAATTTCTAAAATCTCCACAAAACCCATTCTGATATTTCTTAAATAACACTAATATGTACTTTTGTTCTTTCATGATTGTTTTTTCCAGTTCATATAGTCAAATGTGTTTTGTAATTATTATCTTCCTAATACCCTAATATGAGGTCATCTTCAGAAAAAATGTACTTTATATCAATAATAAAAGTCAAATAATTGTATGCATGTTTATTCATAAGAGTAATGAGTGATTCAGTTTTCACGTTTATCTTTAATATGGAGTTACTTTGTTCATTCGGTTTAGGCATGATTCTTTGATATTTATTGAATAATCTTAATAAAAAGACGAAGATTATCAGAACTATGTGGTGATACATTAATCCAATACATTTCGAACAATTTGATCACACATAAGATACTTGTTAAGAATATTTATATATAGAAAATAAAAGGTCAACTAGACTAGAAATAGGGTAAGTGGAGATAAGGATAATGATAAGAGTAATAATAATAATGTGAACACAATTCGAAACCTAATCACTTCGGCTAATAAATCAATATAACCAGGGTAGGTTTAAAGTAAGAACAAACTGTTCTTGAACATACAAAGGGAGTTTGAATTTTCGTATGGTTAAGGCTTCAATAAACCTTAGTATACAACTTTTTAACACTTTTATACAAAACCACAAAAGCCGAGTTTAGATCAATCTTATGACCTGTTCCAATTATATGTTTAGCAATAGAGGATGATGGATGTTTATCATCTATTATTT